TTTTTGTCCTCATTAGTCTCCCTTTCAGGAGCTATAAGAGGCCTGTTGCACCACTTTGTGTTCATTAAAGGAGAGTTTGATCTGATTTAACTACCGAGCCCGCTGAAAGAGGAACAAAAGAAGAGGAAGCATGTGAGAGCTAGCTTAGCCGGTAATTTCGGGGGGATTGTATACCTCCTGATAGGACTCCATGCAAGCCAAAATCCATGCATGCGCGCTCCTCTGCAAAGAAGTGGAAGAAAAAGCCTTGAATTTCGACTCCTCGGCGGCCTGTAATCACTGCAGCTTTTCCATGGGGCATAAAAAAAACAAAATAGCAGCTTATTTCTTGCCAACCGTGCGCCTTCTCCCTGTTTTTATTGCTCCAATTTCAGTTTTTCTACCTCTTTCACACGGGCCATGTTCTCATTATTTATCACTCCTCTCACCCGTCTGCTTATCCTCACCCTCTTCTTCCTGTCTCCTTGCCTTTTGTGCCACTCTCTCACTTAAAAGCATGGCTGGGTGGAAACTCTCCTCCCAGTACCAGTGACCCAATTACTCTAAGTTGTCCCTCCCTGGTAGGATGTAGCATCGTCCCTCCCTGGAGACTCAGCCCGCAGCACACCGACGATCCATCACTCTCCGCTGCCACCTCCCTCTCCCCACATTTATTACTGTCACACACACACACACACACACACACACAGATACACACTCAGAGGCGTGTAGCTTCTCCCTCATGGACTCATGCCCTCAGATGCTCTCTATAGGAAACGTCGTTCACATCCATAAGAAGCATAAATGTGCAGGAATTTAATTTTCTATATGAACACCTGATTGCAGGTGGGTGTCTGACACATGTTGACAATTATTGCTTTCTGCGTTCTGACATCTCATCACACCTCCGCTCCGTGTCGGTATAATCCTGTCTGGGTTTCTCACAATCCTGCCATTAGATTTTGATGAAGGGGGCAGGCGGCAGGAAGGCAGCGTGCAACCATTAATTTGCAGAAATCACCCACCGCCGCTGCTGCGGCAGGAAAAGCAGCCTGAACAAAGTAAGTGCTGGCAGGTAGGGCCACTTTTAAAAGGTTTCATCAATCTGTTGGACAAAGAAGCTGCATATTTACCACCAAAAGGATGTAAGCCCTCTGCTTTTACGAGGTACATGACCGTGGACAGGTCGGTGGCCTACTCCTGCTGCCCGTTTCAAATGTGGTAAAACGGACAGGAACAGGAAAGCTGCACCGGCATCACCACTTATTCTGCAGAGGAGGGTTACATAAAACAGGATGGTGGGAGATAATACTTCCACTTAGCTCCATCGCCTAAAAGGTTAGCACTGTCAAGTGTCCGGAATGAAGTTTCCAGGAGCAAATCTGCAGATCCTGCTCGATATTTAGTTTGCTTTTCACTCCATTATGATCTCAGTAAACACCTGTAAAGAAAATCTGATTAGATGTACAAGTGTGATGGTGCGTTTCATTTAACTCAGAAGTCGGAAGTCGGAGCTGGGAATGACGTCACATCCCAGTTATCAGCGTTTCAGTTACAAAATTGGAAAAAAGTAGCCAACAGCCAAAAAAACGGAAGTGGAAACAAGACGAGTACATCTACAAAAGTTATGCTCACACTTGCCTTGTGCAAATATAAACAACTTCTGGACAAATACGTGGTCCTTCTGCAATCTACAAACACGGTAAATGAAGAGGAAACACAAAGGTGCTGAAGGTAGCCTATTTTTTCTCATTACTGGAGCTTCTTCTTATTGTTTATAACCGGTGCTGCCATCTTCAATTGTCAACTCGGGGGTTGTGTGGATCGTCCAACTTCCGAGTCAGAAATCCGACCTCAGGAGTCATTCCAGTTGAAAGTTCCGACTCGGAGCTCTGAAATCTCTACTTTCGAGTACAACTGGAACGCACCATAAGTTGGTGTGTTAATGTATTGTAGGGGAAAATATAGACTATAGGTTTGAGCAGAGAAAGTCTGCCCAATGGAACAGACTTAATGGCCTGTTTTTGCAACGTGTTGAAAAACAGGATGCGGGTCATGGCCTGAGAGGTCACATCGACCTTGTCACACATGGCGCTGCCAAAATTCAACAGGAAATTTCGCAGAGTCTGCCAGCGAGCAAAACATGTTTACAGAAAAAGTCACGTTGTTGGTTCTCAGACACCAATGTGAAGTACACTTACAGGAAGATAACAGTTCAGATGACCACTTACGGGAAGAACGACTACTGACGTCATTGGACTGTATAAATGATTTGGGATTGTTTGGTTCTGGGGTCCGTCCGTCTGATTGTCATAAGCTGTGGTTGAGGCTGTAACTACAATAAATCCCGGAAGAAGGCTGCCAACTCGACTCTGTCTTCAGGTGGTTCATTTTTGCACCTTTGCATCTATGAAATCTACCATAGAAGTTGTGAGCCAGCCAGTGAGTCAGCGAAACGCGTCAGTGAGAGTCTGACCAATGAAACGCTGTCACTTTTACAGCTCAGAGCTCGGCGTGCAAACTCCGGAGCATGTGCAGAACGCTAAGGTCAGTTTCAGTTTGATTAAGCCAAACATGACACCAGCGTTATCAACAGGTTCTTATTCCCCACTCCTCATGTATGTCATGTATTGATGGACGGTCAGGGGCCCTTTGCATCAGTAAGGGACGCACAGGGGGTGCATAAACTCCAATAAGAGTCCTTTTTCATCAGATAGTGAGGGTTTGACCGTGCTCTTTCTGTGGGCAGACTGTGGGACTAAGAACGTGTTGGCATTATACAACTCTGTTAGTCAGACAATGAGAAGTTTAAGTGTGATTTAGAGTTGAACTAACATGTCAACATGATTATTTTAACTCCAGTTTCAGTCGAACTAAAGCAGTAAATCAGTTTTTTTTATTCAGAGTGAGGGAAGGGTCCATTTTTCTGTCGTTGATTCCCTCTGACCTTTACACCACGCTGTCAGCTGCTCCATGCTAATCACCTGTCCACCCTCCCCTGCTAATTACCAGCTTTGTGCGCCCGCTCTTTGATAAGGACATGTCATTTGCTGAGATGGCGGTGATGAAGCCCTTTGAAGCTGTTAAGCTTTCTCTCAGTTGGAGCTTCAAACAAACGCAGTGACATCTGGTAGCTTGTAAAATCGATGGTGGTCTTCTAAAGCGCCGTGATGATGTGATACGAGCGTCATGATATTTAACCTCCTGCATTAACGCTTTAGTACAAGTTTGTTTAATACATTATATACTATGTACACATCGACTGGATATGGAGTGGACAGAGTCAAGTCCTCTTTATTTCTGTACAGCTCAGTTTTTAAAAGTTATTAGGGGGTTCATGTTTTTCGATGATTGACACCTGATACAGCCTATGGGAGTACGAAGATTACGTAGATCACCCGGGGATACGCTGTTTAAGCCGAGCGTCATCACAGCGACTCTCCCGCCGATAGCGTACAACGCGACTGCAAAAGTGGTGGTGCCAGGAAGTAAAGAAAAAATCTCGGAAATACTGAGAGCAATTCGGCTTCAAATTCATATAATGAGGGGAGGCGGAGCCAAGTTGTCCTAAGTATATATATGCTGCGTTTGAGTTACATCCGAAGTCAGATGTCGGAGCTAAGAATGACGTTACAACCGAGTTACCAGCGTTTCAGTTACCAAGTCGGGGAAAAAAGATTGGCGGTGGAAACAAGATGGCTCCATCTACAAATATCAAATATAACAAGGACAAGTCAAGCGCTAAAATAACTTTCGTAGATGTAGCCATCTTGTTTCCACCTCCTATTTCGCTTTTTTCTGACTTGGTAACTGAAACGCTGGGAACTCAGGTGTGACGTCAATTTCAGCTCCGACATCTGACTTCTGAGGTAACTCAAACGCAGCAACAGTCTATGTACGTACACCTTTAAGTAGTGATGATTAAAAAAGGGTCTTGTTTTGCTCTTTCAACCAATCAGAGGCCATATCTGTGATCAGCTGACCTCTAGAGGTCCAGCTTGGAAAAATTGCTGATGAAGAAAATAAGACGAACATCCAAAACAGTCGATTTACTGCTGATAACAATAATAATAATAATGATGATAATAATAATATAAACTACATACATTGAGAGGATTGGAGTTTTTTATTTAACAGACGAGTTCAAACTAAAAAAAGACGTTTCTGACTCCTGTTTTGCTCTCTTTATCTCCGTAACTTTTTCACCCCGTTTTCGCCGACTTGTTAAATGGTTTCAGCTAAGCAGCTCAGACAGGCCTCGGTACACACGCTCGTCAATAACATTAGGACTCTGCCATGTGGAGAGGACACAGACCCGGCTTCAGCAATAACCGAACCCACAAGATGTGACAGTTTGTGCATGTTAGTCTCTCTCAGCGAGGAGCAACTCTGTCAAATCAGCAAAGGAAGGAAGGAAGGAAGGAAGGGTAAATCGGGGAAACATGATTATCTCCGAGCAGGAAACTCGACCAGTCAATAAACACTAATAGATTAATGGAGACAACAGAGGAACGCAGTTCTAGCCCTAACTCTGGGCATTAGTTTAATGATCAGAAATGCTGAAACAGACTTCGATTGAGTTCAGCCGATGCATCGCCTGCCGGACCTCTAATGTCTCCAGAGGAGGTTTGTACTTCTGTCTCTCTGAGCGAGTGTCTCTAATGCTTTGTGTGTCACTTCCCTTCTGGCTGTGTCGCTCCTTGTGGCGCCCAGACTCCTCGGTGATTGACAGCTGCTGGGGAGGGAGGCAGGACTGTTATCAACCTATCTGACAATCAAAGTCTCCTTAAAGTCACGGCGCGGAGCTCGGCAGAGGAAATGCTATCAGAGGCCACGAGTATATATATGTATAGTTTAATATTTAATGCATGATTCTGAACGCTTTATGTTCAGTAAGGCTGTCGAATCACACGCTTTCCCCACTGTGAATAATACAGGCATAATATAGAGCTCCATAATGGATCCAGTGTCAGGTGGATTGTGGGTAAATTGCTCAGAAATGATGCAAATAATCCATGAAGAACCCTGTATGGGAGGTAGACTGTTGTAAAAGCCCCTGAGGAGAGGAGAAGTTGCTGCCTCATGTTCCCCCGGCATGGCAGCTGTCCAAGCAGGTGGGCTGCCTGATTCTTGAGACTCCGTCCCTCTGAGCGTGAGGGGGATGAGCTGGAGTCTGCAGCCAAGAAACCGAGTTATTATTCTGGATATCAACGCCATAAATTCTTAGCAAAATTCCTCCTCCTCTCATTTTTCTTCAGTCTTCCCTCCCGCCCTCCTTACCTGTCATGGCTGCCCACGACTGAACAAAGGATTTGGCTGATTCCTCCTCCTGTGTGGATGTAGTCCCTGGACAAACATGTTGGGCTGGAAATGATCCAGATGGTTCCGGGGAAAGGAAGAAGTCGTGCTCCTCTGCTTTTCGGAGCAGTCTCAGCCTCGGGCCGACGTAGAGGCGTGGCGGTGATGAAACTCAAACATGTGTATTGTCTGCGCCTGTAGGTTTGTTTGGTCATGGGTGCGCTCCATCAGCAGGTAAACGCTGCCAAAAGTTTCATAACTTTGAACAGGAAGTGGCGAGTGTGCCTGAGGTATGTTGTTGAACTGTTGTGGGCTTTGGACCAACCAGACTCGAGTACTGAACTCAAACCCAGGTGGGTAAGAAGTGGATTTGAAGAGTAGACGTGGAGGAGGCTGAAGCTCTCCTGCTGAATCGTTCGTTCTTTGCACGTTTCTTCATTTGCAGCATTTTTTGGACTCTTGAACGTGTTTCTGAGGTTGTGTCGTTTCTGCATTTGCTGCTGATTTCTCCTGATGACTGTTAAGGATCATTGGCACTTGTCGGCGACCATAGTCGGGAAAAGAAATGATGGTTCTGGTTATAATGAGTGTTTTCACTATAATTAGTATGTTGCTAATGTGCTGTATTTGTGCTTTAAGCAGGTTGGTCTGATCCTGTGCCACTTTTATATTAAGTTCCACTTTCTTTTGCCAACTTTTCTTTGTCTTTTTTTATGTATTTTATTATTTTTTAAGCAGATAGTGACACACCAAAACTTTTTTTAAATTATTTTTTAAGCACATAAAGAATAACCAAAACTATTTATTTTATTTCATTTTATTTTTTAAGCATTTTATTATTTTTTTAAGCAGATAGTGACACACCAAAACATATTTTTTATTTTATTTTATTTATTTTTTAAGCAGATAGTGTTACACCAAAACTTTTTGTATATTTTTAATTTTTTTGTACATTTAATTATTTTTTAAGCAGATAGTGACACATTAAAACTGTTTTTTTTAAAATGCATTTTATTTCTTTTTTGTAATTATTTTTGTGTAGGATTTTTTCCTTTGTTCATAGACAGGACATTGTTAAATGTGGAGAGATTGGGGGGGCATGCAGCACATGGTCTGGGCCTGGACTCGAACCCGCGACCGCCAGGGGGGACCGCGGCTATCTTCGTGCCTCATACCAGAACTTTATACTATTTCCTTGCACTCCTTTCTGTCCTATTTGATTTACAGTTTCTCTTTGAGATTCATCCCATCACCCACTCTACGATCCTCACATCCTTCCACATCGATTCATGACGCTCTCTTGTCTGTTTTTGTTGGAGAGTTTTGTCGAATTAACGCAAACTTGCAAGTCTCTGCAGTGTTGGATAAATAAGGAGAATCAGAGCAAAGAGAAGACGACAACAATGCAAAGAGGACCGAGTTTGAAGACGACTTCATACAGACTTAAAACACCCAGATCAGAGCGACGCATTTTCTTCTTTTCATGTTCACATCGTCAGACTGACACTAAAGTATCCTTGATCCTCCAGTGATGAAATATAGATACTGAGTAACGGGGATATTATGGGATCTAACTTACAGTGACACTTTGAGAAGACTAAGTTTTGTTTCTGCCTCTCAGAAGACTCTGAACCCGGTAAGAGTCCAGTTATTGATTGACCCATCCATTTCTCCTGACCTCCACTCCAGGCTGGCTTCTGTGTCCTCCTTCGTAATACTGGAGCGAGAAAATCTCAAAATCAGCATCCAGAGACGACGCCAGAGGAGAACCTCAATCATTAGTTTTTGACACGTCGGTGGGCCACTGACCAAGCTGCTTTATTTGACAACTTGTGGGTGAGAGGAACAGGCTGCCTGGGTTTGAGGCAACAGCAGTGAGCCAGATTTATTCCCATCCAAACAATAACTGGCATCGGCGGCCTCAAATCTATCATTACTTCATCTGACACAAAATTATACTTCAGCTGCCGTCCAGCTCTTAAAACTCAACGGCTTCTGGCTGCCCTGAGCACCAACAAGTCCTGCATATGTAAAACAGCGGCAAACTCGTATATACAGCTGAGGGGGCGAAGAGCGACACCTCCAGGGTTACTCTGGTGAACATTTAAACCAGTATTCAGATCATGTGGGCAGATTTCAGCCAGAGAAGAATATGTACGAGGATTTTCACTAAGCCCAGAAACACAGACGCCTGCAAACTTTGTTGGCTGCGACATGTGCCCAGAGATCAACTTTATTGGAAGGAAACGGGTAATACTTGGAGCGCAGCAAACAGAGCGGCACCTCCAAATGTTCTTGTCGCACAAATAACAAACAAATCATGATTGTGCCTGTTGGCCGGAGGCCCAACGTCCACAGACTTGAGCAAGAGAAGCAAGCTGGTGCCTAGATTAACTTACCATAAGTCTGGATGGTGAAATGACGAGGACGCTTTACTGACAACAACAGCTGAGGAGAATCCACGTCATCCTTAGATTATGTTTTTTTACTTTCTGCTGCTAAATATCTACAGTTTCAGATTTCTATTTAAAACACTCAGGACACCTCTGGTCCAATAAGCTTCCCTGCTTGGATTTGGGTTCATAAGAAAACCTCAGATACGTTTATGAGACCTCAATCAAAAATCCAAGTTTTAATCCCAACAGTAGGGCTGCGCTTTAAATTGATTTTAAGTCATAATCGGATTATTTGATTACGACGATGTAAAAAAAATTGAAATCCTCAAATCGATTTTTCTCTCTATCATGTCTCGCGCCTCCAGGCCACCGTAGGCTCCCCCTTCCTCCCCAGTTCCCTCACACACCAGTGTAAACAAACATGGAAAGAAGGTGATAATTTCGTGGTTAAATAGGACAAGAGCGAGTCAGTCGTGTTGAATTGGTACGACTTCGCAGTTTCAGATGAAGAGCAAACCACTCCCCGCTGTAAAGTCTGTCTGAAGGCGGTATCAACCCGTCACCATGGAAACGAATTCAGGAGGAAATGCAAAAATTTTTTGTCATATCAGCGTTTCATCCACACAGAAACGGCGTTTCAGGTGACTGTAAACGGTACTTTTTGAAAACGGGTCAGAGAGTGAATAAATCTGTAAACGACGACCATTTCATTGTTGTTGTCATGTGGATGTCTATCTGCATCTCTGGAAACGATCATGTGACCCACAGTGTAACTCTTTTATGGCGCCTGTGCGTCTCCGGTCAAAACAACCTTTATGCACACGCATTTCAGCGCCTCTTACTTACTTGGCATTTGCACTTCATCGATTTCAGTGGTTTTAGTTTGAGAGATGATAGAAATACTAAACTCAGAGAGAAAAATCAGGATTTTATTTTTGGCCAAAGTCGTGCAGCCCTACCTGAAAGTAAACAAAAGTTTTTGTGGCTTTTTTGCATCAAACGGGTTCAGAGCAGGTCAAAATAACGTCATGATTCAGATTCGTTAGACGACTTTTGTGCACATATCTGTTTATTCAGATCGGTAAAATGTTGTCTATGTTCTCGAATGCTCTCGATATGATTTTCTGCACACACCAAAACCTTCTGAAAATATGACAATTAAAACCTGCAGCACTTCCTAAAGAGTCAGAGTATGAACACTGTCTTTAGAAGCCTGAATTTAGATGAATAGATTATTAACACAGAACTATGATCCTGTTGATTTTCAAGCTTTGCATCTCCAGCTGAAAAAAAACACTCATTTCTGAACCTTGACCTCAACTACTGTTGGAGAATAATCTTCTAACACATGTGCGTTCAACTCGTCACCCTTTTTATTCAAATTACTGTCAGACATCAGAACACAGCGGCCTCTGAAAACGATATTTCCAGCCCTGCTTCCTCTTAGTCAGTGTGATGGTGAGAACTCGCTCTTAGCCTGAAAACACGGGGACCTTTAAAAGCAGCGATGTGGAAAACGTTATGCCACATACAATTTATCAGTAGCCCAGCTGGGATGAAAGGTGGTCAGCCAATGATGCTAAAAATACTGCAGGGTGTTGTTAGATAGTCGCCCACAAGGCCGTAGTCTGCTAGATCTGACGTTTATCCTCCTGGCGGCCTCTCAAAGGGCTGATTTTGGATTCGTTAGCGCTCAGAAACATCATATCACATTCCCAAACATTCCATGTTTTGGATCCTCAAGGCGAAAAAATGACGTCCCCGAACAGCGAGGACTGTTTGGAGCTCACGCCGCAGCCCGACGACTCAAGCGACATGGGAGTGATGGCGAATGCTTGCTGGCTGTACCACAAAGAGTTTGAAAGTACTCTGTGCAGCAGCTCTCTGTACCTTTCTCCGCTTCCCGCTGTCCTCTGTATCCACAGCTTCATTTGAAAAAGAAGAAAGACCTCGCTGCACCCTTCTCTAAAAAGGAGGAGACGGTGTGAGCCGGGTTAATTTGATGTTTCAGGGAAGCTGTGCATAACAGGGTTCAGACTGCAAACTGTGCGTCTGTTCCTGTGTGTCGTTTCTGCTCCGTGTTTGACTATTAGAGTTGAAATGAGGGCTTTGCATGCAAACGGTGTGTCTGTCTGTCGACACGTCAGTGTGTGTGTGTGTCAGTGTGTGTCAGCGTGCTCCTGTATGGGAGCTCAGAAAGACAAAGAACCTATTGAGTCATCGTGTGAGACTCTCATTACAAGCAGTAGCTCCCATTTTTGGAGCTGTCCTTACACTTTCACTGCAGAGAGAATAAAGCTGGCGTTAGTGTTGGACGGTATGAACAAAATCTAATATCACAGAATGAGTAATTTCATATCACAGTAACGGTATATATCAGGGTATGTTTTTTTCCCCTGCAAATTGAAATAATGTCTTAAAAATAACCAAACTGTCGCATTTGTTCATTTTCTTTTTATTTTTAAATTCAGATTTTTATACAAATACAAACAAAATGTCAGACCAGTTTGGCGATTTTCTATCATATATCGTACCTTTGGTGAAAGACTCTGCCGAACTCTTTAGTCTGAGAGGAGCTGCTGCAGTTTTAGTTTTTGGTGCAGCAGGTGCGTCACGCATCTTTTGGCTCTTATATTCGAGCTCGG